TTTTTTTTTTTTTTTTTAATTATTATTATTATTGTTTATTTCTTTACTCCTCTGTTCTGTTTCATTATATAGAAGAAGTATTAACAGTTCATCTCAAATAGTGCTCTCCATTAAATCTCTCTAAATTACATGTTTTATGTAGTATCTCTTTCTAATAATGTTAAAGAAAAATCAAGATTTTATGATAAATTAATTAAGCATATGAGATTATTATTAAGATTTTCTGTGGGATATAATTGGGACAATAGTATAGAACGACAAATAATTAAAAATAAAAATTTAGATCTAAAAGAACATTAAAAATGAAACAGGGAAGTATTAATTATTTATGTATGGATGTACTTTCTTGCTTCTCTGTGTAACATTGGGATCATGTAGTATATTTTAATTTGGTGAGAAATAATAACATCATCTATAAGCAGAAATATAATAACATGAAATAACTAATTCCCAATTTACATTTTATTTATTTATTTATTTATTTGGCTGGGGCCGGGGACGAATATCTCAATGTTCATCATCATTTCAGGTGAAAATAAATTGTGAACTGACTAAAACTTGACACATCATGAGCCTTATAAAAATCTCAATTTTACTAACCTTCAAAGATCATGAGCTTAAAACCCTAGCGTACCACAAAGTTCGTATGTGAGACGTGAGCTAATCGTTAGACGAATCGACTCGTTACACTATTTTAATAAAAATTCATGATTATGCTATTAAAAGTTATACATTTATTTTTTATTATTTTTAAAATCTAACATTTACTGTTTAACAGAAAAATATTGCTAATTTTTTATGAAAACTAAATCTACAAAAAGATAATGATAAGAGATGAGAACCCACACGCAAGCTTACATTAATTAAAAAAGTAGCTGGCATTTTTCTAAATTCATGTCTCAAACCTAATTAAACCTAAGGAATTATAGTCCCAAAATTCATTAAATTCCTATCAGCAAAAAGGCACACACCACATGCATGAAATGCATCATTTATATAGGACGTACGTACACCTCAATTAAAAATTCCTAATTATTTGGGATACATTTTCTATTATTTTTGTAATTAAAAACCATAATAACATTGTATTTTATTTTGCATTAAAAATTAATATCCAAATGACCAAAAAATATTAGGTACTTGTATATATGTTTGTATAACTAGTTAGAGACACATCATATGTATGTCTATATATATATATATTATATACCATGATCACAAATTCATGATATGAAAAAGAGCCCTCAGATTCATCTATGTCGAGACTCACTTTGCTCTCCTCAACTATGCAAGAATAAACTTTTTCTCAGGACTGTACAAGTTTTTTACCGTTAGATCAATACACACTATACATAACCACACAAATATCCGTCTGATCCAACCGTAAAAAAACAATAAAAAAATAATTACACTCCAATCTTCTGAAATATTTTGATATAAAAGGCCAATGATATATTTTAAGGAAAAGTCCATCACTTAGACATAAGTGCTTTTTAAGTTTTAACAACACCACTATTAATGTTTTTGTAACATCAAAAGAGAGCTTAATTCCTTTGAGCTTAATTTTGTCATAAATTTTTGCAATATGTTTTTTTTATTTTATTTTTTCATAATTAAAATATGGTAAGGGATATTATTATATTTGCATTTTCCAACACATCTGCTCATTTGCATGTTCCCAACAAATGCCTGGTTGTCAGTGGCATGATGGCCTTTCTCTATTTAGAAACACATCATTTGGACTCTTCACAACACATTAAACTCACCTTCTTGCCCTTAAATACACACATATATGTGTACTTCATACTTTTTATGTTCATTTTCCAAAAACATCCTTGGACTTTATATTAATTGCAGACCAACACCATTTTTCTTTCTTGAAATTTCAGTGGGTGTTTATGTAATTATTATTGGCTTCCTCAAGAAAAAGAGATGGTTTTAATAATGTAATTAGGAAAAAAACAAGTCCTCATTAATAATTTTATTCCACATTTGTAGATTTTCATGTCCTAGATAATAATATCCATAAAATGGGCTCAAGTCCATAAAATATTGGGTGTATATATATATATATATATGGTGAAAGATTACGAAATGACTGATGAGCACATTCTAATATGTCCATATTTTACGATCACCTAAAACTTTAAAAAATGTTGAGGTGATGTTATAGTATTTTTAATCAGATAATTAAAATAGAGAACACAAAATATAATAACAATAATAGATAAGTAGTTGAGTAATTTAATTTTCATAAAATAATCACATGAAGAAAAATTGAATTAAATTTAGACTTACTATATGTAACACTTGAAGATATATAGGATAAAATTAAAAACGCAAAAATACAATAGTGAAATACCTAACATGATAACACAAAAATTGACATTCAGAACAAAAATGTAAAGGCATGGGATAAAGTGACACATACTTGCTGTTTATATATGGTGATGAAAAATTGTCACCACCCATCTCAATCTCATTCATTCATTCATACTTTTTTGTAATTAGTCCCTTTCAATTCACTTAATTTCATCTCCGCCTACTCTTGCGACATTATTTACATGGTCACCCCCCCTATAGGCTGCACTTTCAAGATTATCCTCTTCTTTTCATTTAATTCCTTATTTATTATTTTCTAGTATTAAGTTATAAAAATGAATAGTCAACTGTTAAATAGCCTTTTTTTAATAGCCAACCACGGTCAGGAACGGACGCAGACTTTAAGAACAACGGGAGCACAAATTACGGTCAACAGTCAATGTCAGAGGTTAACGATCAAATTAATACTTAATCAATTAAAAGAAAAATATAAAATTTTGACACTACAAAAAAATAGAGTTCTAGTGAAGAATTTTTTTGTCACTATATCTACGATTGTTGTCACTATGTTGTCACTATATCTACTGTCAGTATATCTACAGTTGTTGTCACTGTATCTACAATTATTGTCACTATATATACAATTGTTGTAGATATAGTGACAATAATTGTACATATAGTGACAGTAGATATAGTGACAACACAGTGACAACAAAATTCTTCACTAGAACTTTATTTTCTTGTAGTGTGACCATACACTTTTTTTTTTTATTTAATAGTTAGGGTTGATTCTCGCATGGGGACACAGTTGATTCAATCCCTATATAGTTTATACATTCATGTATAATAATTATTTTTTTATGTATTTTGGGATGAAAAAGGATATAAACAAGAAATTGAGTATAGCATAAACATAAATTCCACAATTTTAAAAATAACATACTGTTAAATAAAGATAAACATATTCTTTTTATTATTTTATATTTAAATAACTTTGCATAATAATTAATAACATGTATTTTCTTATGTTCATATAATAATACATTTACACATATAATATATATACCATATTACTAAAAATTCTATAGGGGCCCGTGCCCCTACGAGCCTTTATGTAGATGTCAATGATCACGGTATCTGGAGCTTTGCCCAAACTATTTCGTTAGTCGACTCGAATCGCAAACCTGAAAATGATGGGTGAGTCTCTCA